GGGAGATTCCTCAGCTTCTCCATCTCCACTTTAAGGCCCTTTATCTCCCTCTCCATTTCCGCAAATTTTTGAAGGAGTCCGAAACATGTCGTACAGGCTTCGTCTTCGTATTTGATATCCATACAACTTACTAGGCTCCTTGTTGCTGGGTTAATCCACCTACTCTGGCAACCTTGTGTGCTCCTTTTATTTTGGTTAATTCGACGATTAACCAGTCGGAAAGGAGGAGTGTGCAAGTCGCTCATGAACTGGCGCACTACAAGGTGGATCTCGCAGTTCTCAGCGAGACCCGGTTCTCTAAACAGTGTCAGGTAGAGTATCAGCAACACCTTCTTCTGGAGCAGCCGCCTTAAGGCAGAGCGACGAAACGCCGGAGTTACCCCTGCCATCCGGAACGTCATCGTGGGACAAATGCCATGTCGGCCTCAGGCCATCAACGACCGGCTGATGAGCCTGCGCTGCGTGTTCGGAGATCCCAATTCGTCACCATAATTAGCACCCCACGCCCTACCAATGACCGGATTTGACAAAGCGAGTGTCAAGTTTTTTGAAGACCTGAACGCTTTTCTGTCTCATGCAAACCTGCGAAGAATACTACTTCCTGATGACCAATACCTCTTCCGCCTGCCGATGTGGAAAGTGGTGACCGGGATACACCCCCGAACGCGACACTGGCAGCTACCAGACTGTGTTCTCGTCTGGTGACGCGATCAACAGGACGAGATGCTGACCATGGTGATTTGCGAGGCCGATGGACGGACGGACCATTGTCCCGTTATCTCAGAGATGAGTCTCCGTTTGGAAATCCGCAGGAAGCCACAAGGTAAGAGACCATCAAATAGGTTCAATGAAGCTTTGCTGTTTTTGCCTTCTCCACGTCTACATTTCAACAATCAACTTACCCAGCAAATAAAAGCCCCGCAAGCTCCACAAGAAACCGATCCCGTGGAGATTCGATGGTACAAACTGAGGGACGTCGTCCATTTGACCTCCGCGGGCGTCTTTGGCCGCACATGTCGTCAGCACCGGGACTGGTTCGACGAACACGACGCAGTCATCAACAACCTGCTTGCCGAAAAGAACAAGCTGAATTGGCATACACATCCCGTCCGACTGTTGCAAACAAAGCGGCTTTCTACAGATGTCGCCGCCTTATGCAGCAGCGGTCGCGAGCGACGCAGGATGTCTGCATTGCCCGCAAAGTCGCGGAGATCCAGGGGTATGACGACGACAATATAGTACTCAAACGTTCCTCTACAGCCTCCAACCACGCCATCGACCGGCTCCCCCTAGAGAAAATCAACGTCGACCTGAATCTCCCTCCTCCCTTAGAGAGACCATCAACACCGCCAAACAGTTCTCCGGAGGGCAAGTATCAAGCTCTGATGCGATTCTGGATGAAATCTATAAGCCCAGCGGCCACCAACTAGTGGATCACCTCACAGCGCTCTTCCGGATATAACGACAAGGAATGGCCTCTCAGAACTTTAAGAACGTGACCATATTCCATCCTTATCAGCGTAAAGGGAGCCAACAAGTCTGTGAAAATCACAGATATCTTGTTACTCAACATCGATGGGAAGAACGTCTTTCGCCTTCCACTTATTTATCTCAACGGTCACCTCGCGCAAGGGCTAATGCTGGAAAACAACTGTGGCTTCCGACGACACCGGGTCACCACCGACCTAGTGTTTGCCGCTCGCCAATTATGGGAAAAGTGTCAGGGAATACGAACCTACCTATATACTACCTTCATGGAGTGGACAAAAGCCTTCGAAACGGTGAATCGCCAGGCATCAGGAAAAGCCATGCAGAAATTCGGCTGTCCTGAGTGATTCACGCCACGACTTGATGATGGCGCGCGTCAAGGACAACGACCCAATTTCAGAGTCATTCCCAGTGACCAAAAAAGCGAAACAAGGCTATGTACTTCCTCCCGCTCTCTTCAGTCTCATGTTCTTTGGTGTGCTAATGGACGCCTACCGTGATGAGCTCTTCGGGATATGAGTCACCTGCAGGATTGACGAACATCTTCCCAACAGCGGGCACATGCAGACCCGTGAACGGTTATCTACGATGACGGCCACAACCCTCTCTTCACCGACGACTGCGGGCTCAACACCACGACCGAAATCGGCTGGTAACGGAGCACGGACCTCCTCTCCGGCGTGTGCGTCATATTCGGCCTGGCTATCAACACGGACAAAACGGCAGTCATGAATCAACCGCCACCCCACATTCGACACAGCCTTACTTCTCGAATCAATGTCAACAGCCGCCAAATCAAAACCGTTGATAACTTCGCCCGCCTTGGAAGCACACTCTCGCGCAGCATAAGCATCGACGATGACGTTACCCGTTGGCTATCCAAAGACAATGAAGCCTTCGGCCGCCTCGAAGCCTCCATGTGAAAAGGCACGTAGTTCAACCAAATAGC